TATTTACTATATTGTTAAATAATCTAAAATTATCAAAAGAAATTGAAAAGATAATATATGCAGATAACATACCCCTACTATCAAGTAATAAAAACTTATTAGAAGCCTCTAACAAAATAGAAACAGAATTACAAAAGTTAATAGAATGGGCCAATCACTGGGATCTGAAAATAAACTTTACAAAAAGTAAACTAATGTGTTTTTCAAATAAAAAGATAAATCAACTACCAAAATAAGAATAGACAACACAGAAATCAAATATACTCAAAGCCATAAAATTTTAGGCTTAACATTACATGCCCCTAAACTAAAATGGAAAAACCACTTAGAAAACTTAAAAGTAGACATCTTAAAAATAGAATAAATATAATTGGGGAGCTAATAGAGAAACTCTATTAAAATTCTATAACATATATATATAAAACCAAAAATTGAATATGAATTAACAATTTATGGAGCAGCAAAAGAATGCAAATTAAGAAAACTTGAAACATTAAAAAATCAAATATTAAGACTGGCAACAGGATATTTTAGAACACCTCCAATCACAGCTCTTCAAGCATTAACAAACATCCCATCTTTATCATACAGAATAAAAGAACTTGAATGCATTCAGCTAACAAAAATCCCAAATAAACCAAACACAATGCTAGTAAAACAACAAATGACAAAATGCATAAAAGAGTACAATCCTCAAAGAGATAAAAGATCACTAGTACACAGAGCTACAGAAACAAAAATAAACCTAAACCTAAACCTAAGTCCAAATGTAATACCAAACTTATCCCCAATACCCCCATGGTATGATATTTCAGAAAACATACAAATAAACTTTATAACAAAAAATATAATAAAAATACTCCTCAAATAATTATCAAAAAAACAATTCCAGGAGTTAATAAATGGGAATTTTCACTGATGTTTCAAAAATAAAAGAACCTGATTCAACCTCAGCAGCAATCTATATTCAAAACAAAAATATAACAACTATTTGGAAATTGCCTCCTTAAATAGAAATCACTCTTGCAGAATAATTTGCCTTAAAACAAGGACTAAAATATGCAATAAATAATAAACTGACTAAAACAATAATACTAACAGACTCACAATCATCACTACAATTAATAAAAAAACCCAAACCACTAAACTATAAACAGATCACATACGAAATACAAAAGCATATACATTTTCTCTCAACACAAAAACAAGAGATTATGATACAGTGGATTCCATCACACAAAAACATAAAGGGAAATGAAATTGTTGATCTAGTGGCAAAGAAAGCCCACAAAATGAATAATCACACAAAAACATAAAGGGAAATGAAATTGTTGATCTAGCGGCAAAGAAAGCCCACAAAATGAATAATCCCATGTCAATACCACAAAACCCAAATTGTATCATAAAAGAAATTAGATTAAAAAATAATAAACAATGGGAATCAAATTTAAAAAGAATCTTAAACACAAAAAATGATCTCATCAAAGACAACACAGGAAAACCAGAGCCAAGTACAGAAAACTAGACACATGCATCACAAGACTCTCAACCAAACACACAAGATTAAAACCCCTTTAAAGAATGAAAATGGAAAACGACCCCTTCTGCAGATGGTGCAAGAACCAAGAAGAAACTATAGAACACATGTTTTTACACTGCCCAAGATTTAACTCTCACAGAACAAAACTAAAAGATGCTTTAACTCATTCGCGTCGGGTGTCACGTATACATGCCATGCCCACTGTGAGTGTACTTATTTGATTGTTTTTACACATGGATGGCTCCACTTGTACTTGTACTGCCTGTCACGCCTGTTTACCCTTTTCTTTAATTTACAAAAATATTTTACGTTATCTTATTTTGCTGCTACTAATGTTTATAACATTATAAAAATCATAATAGTTATAATAAAAATAACCATCGATATTCATAGCACTAGTAAAAATACATTTTCCCGCCAACTCAAGTAAAGGTGAAATCAGGTAAGGTAGAGCCATCTAGTGTAGAGATATTTCACAAAAAAATATAAAAAATGAGCATTTCCCCATTTTTTGTTCATTTCTACCTGGCGCAAATGGGTTAAGACAAGTAAACATAAATGATATTGATATAAACCTTCTGATTACAGGTGCAGATCAACCACCTACAATAAAGTACTACATATTAAGACATACTACATATTAAGACATACAAAGATTTTCCAACAAACAACTAAATTATCTGACATAATTTAAGAGGCAAGAAGCCTAGAAAAAGATCCAGGGGATATAGACAACAATAGTCTAAAATCCTATACCAAGAAAGAAGAAGAAAGACCATGCAAAATTAACCCATTGCCGCCGGGGAAAATGCTGTGCCTATTTTCTATACTTTTTGGTTAAATGTCTGCCCATAGATGGCTCTGTTAGTGCCTGATTTGAAATGGCGGGAAAAACGTATTTTTCACTAGTGCCATGAATATCGATGGTGTTATTTTTATTATAGACATTATAATTTTTATGATGTTTTTTAACATTAGTAACAGCAAAATAAGATAACGTAAAATATTTTGTAAATCAAAGAAAAGGGTGAACGGGCGAGACAGGTGGTACTCGTAACTGGCTCATTGGTGATTTAGTACGAGTGTAGCAATCGATGTGTAAAAACAATCCAACAAGTAATCTCACAGTGGGCATTGCATGGCATGCCCGTCGGCAATGGGTTAATTGAAGCGAGCGCTGAGGTACAAGGTAAGGGTGACACCCTACACTGGACCTCAGTCTCCATTTCCTAAGCTCCCCCTATGACAACAAACAAGGGTTTAGGGGGGTTATAAATATGTGAACACATATTTTATTATTAATTTTTTTCCATATTTGCTCATAAATTTCATTGTGCCAAGTAATTATTACATGATTATGTTTTTAAATCTAAATTTAGTATTATGAAGGTGTAATATTTATTCAATGAATTCTGCCAGGATTGCCAATGGCACAGGGAAGAGGGAAGGTCTGAGGTATCTATTTTGGAATGTTGAAAGATTAGGGTTACTTCTGTAAAGATAGCACTTGAAAATAGAATTTAGGAACCCTTACAATTTCAATAATACTGCCATAATCTCAAGAGGGGTGTAGACCATCATAAACAATTACTAATACTTTCACTCATTTCCTGATCCAGTTATTTTTCATGAAAAATGAGACATATAGTCTAACACACCATATGTCACTGGATCAAAAAATAATAATTGCAAAGTTAGATGGCTGTGTGAAGCAAATGAAGAAACAAATAAAAAATATACAGGAAGTTGAAATGTGGAAATTAAAAGAACAGCCCCCAATCTTAGGTTGCAGGCTGAAGTAATAGGGATTTAAGGCCCTTTTAGTAGCTCAACCAAAGTCCCAATGCACTGGATTTTCTTCAACACATATATGATCTGTTGGCTTTCTGGCAATGTGTTGATGGTTTGAAGTTACGGCTTAAGCCCCACCCCTCCAATTGTCTTCTCATCCCTTCCTTTTGTAGTGCACTCAGACCAAGAGCACTGACAATTGAATAGAAATTTAAATAGAAATATCTGTAATATATTACGGAATAGAGATAATAAAGACAACCCATGATCACACCATAAAAGATCATTTTATCAAAGGTTTTTCTCATTTTTTCTAGTTGACCACATAAAAGGCATTCCTTATATATTTCAATCATAACTTCAAATTCACAGTCCCACCTAATATACAGAATAACATCCTCTTTTTTCTTCTAACATATAGGTTAAACATACTGAAAATTCTCAACAGACCACAGGAATTCATTAATGATAAAACCCGTAAATAATAATAAAAAACAGTGACAATAATACAGCACTGGAGCATTGTAATACAAAACCTGTGTCTGTGTATGAGAAAGCCTGTATCAAGTTAAAACCCTACACCCTGGTATTAATTAAGTGTATACTACCATTGAATGTTCCCATATCTTCCTAGTAGATTACATTTTTTCCTGTCATACTTTAAGTAACTTCTACTGATTTACCAACAAAACTCTATTCATGAAGGTAATAGTTGACTAATAATTATGATTATTAGAAAACACTTCCAGCATAATGCCTTTCAGTGTTAAGGGATGTTGTTGAATGAAGAAAGATGTTCCAAACTAGGAAAAGAGAATATGACTAAAAAATTCTCTTTATTTTTATCTTGAATAATAAAATCCTTACTTTCACAATTGTTATCACATGATAATGAAGTGTAATGGATACTCTTACCTGCAATACATTTTAAAACATTATTTTCAAATGTTACAAATGATAGAGCAATAATCATTGGGTTTGTAATTATTTTTAAAGCCCTATGTATATGATCTGCATGAAGTAATGTGTGTGTAGTTTTTGCTACGTAACCTTTCTTTTAGTCTCTCCCTCTCTCCCTCCATCCATCCAACCCTTCCCCTACCCCTCTATATGGTTTATGGCTGTCCTTATGATTTTTCAGTATACTTTTTTACACCTGGCAGTGCACTTTACCATCAAACATGAGTTTTTGAAAACAATGACTTCCGATTAGTTCAGAAAAGTCCAGCGCATTATGTTTCCTTTATTTTACTAAAACGGCTTGTACTTTCACAGTGATAGTCACTTCAAAAACAATGACTTCTGATTAGTTCAGAAGAGTCCAACACATTGTTTCCTGTATTTTACTAAAAAGGCTTGTACTTTCAGAGTGATAGTCACCTTGTAAACAATTGCCTTGCTTTCTTCCAAACCCAACAAAATACATGAGAATGATGAATCTTTGTTTGTTAGTCATGTCCGCCATAGATCTAGAAAAAAATCCTCAGCTCAGAAAGATGTTGCTAGGAATATATACTGTTAATGGAACATTGAAATCATACACCTAAGAACCTATGGAATATATTCATACCTGCAAGTAGGCAACTGCCCGTCTTGCCTTGTATGTGCATTTTGTAAACAATCTTTTCTCAGCCTCAAGCAGAACGGATTTACCGCATAAAATACTCACCACAACTCGGTCTTCCTCACTAAGAATGGCTTGGTCAACCTGCCATCCATTGTGAAGATGCTGGAGCATATAAGACATCTTGAAAAAATCGAAGAATTTGCGGAAACTTGGTTTAATTTGTTTCCCACAGTGAGTTGCTGACTGCCCGCCAGGGACGCAGCACGCATTCACTCGAGCCAAATTTCTAGATAGAAGCTATTCAAAATGCGGTTGACTTTTATTGTATGGACCAAAGACTATGGTTCACTAGAGGTTGGGATTATTTTAAAAGGGAAAGAAACGCCCTTTAAAAGTAACTCATAAATAAGTAAATGGTAACTGATGTAATATAGAAAGCTAAGGTGCCATGAAAGATATAGGAAAATCTGGATTAGAGAAAATATGACCAAAGATGACAGAGAAATACTGCTGAAGAAAAATGGAAGTGAGAATATACAAAAATGAACAACTGAGAAAGAAGAAAAACTTGGAGAGTGAGAAGCCTCCAAACGAAAGTTTACTATCGGAACCAAAATGCCGAGACAGATAAACATTAGGCTTGGAGTCAAAAGAAATACCGGAAGATTATGTAGAGATAGTTTATACAAATACGGATGGTTTATTTTCGAAGATAGCTGAACTAGATACAATCATTGAAATTAATAAACCAGATGTAATATGCATCACTGATTCCAAACTGGATCTCTCCGTAGACTATGCAACATTAGGACTCAGAGACTATAATGTTTGGAGAAAAGTTAGGGAAATGGAATTGGTTGGGGGGGGGGGGGGTAGCAATATTAATAAGAAAAGAAATTATTATGGAGTTAAAAATTAAGCAAGCCCCATGGTAGAACTACAGGCAATTGAGGTAGAAACAAACGTTGTAATCTTAATGATAACTACAATGTACATGCCACCTCATGCATCGGTGTGGTCACATTACCAAAAACCTATTCAAGAAACGGTAAATAGCCTGGAAGAAGTGCTACAACTTTTGAAAACGAATGCAAAAGAGCCACGTAACAGGGGACTATAATAGTCAAATTGGGAAAATTTCGATCCTAGAGCTCAAAATTACTAGAAGTCATAAATTGAATTTCTCTTCCGAAATGTAACAGATCATACCAGTACAACAGGGCTAGATAGACCTATGCTTGACATAATATTAACAGAGCATAAAGATGACATTAGGGATATGGAATACTGTCCTCTTTTAGGAAAAGGGGACCATGTAGTAATTAAGCTTAAATACTGTCTGCTACAGGGAAAAAAACTCATTTCAAGTAAATTACAGTTACAAGAGAGGTAATTATATAAGCGACAAAGGTTTCTTTGATGGCATAAACATGGAAATACTCCTGGACGAAGAGAACCTTTGTATGCAATATTCTAACTTTTGTGAAGTCTGTAAAACAGGGGTAGAACATTTTGCATCAGTATCCAAAATTGAAGAAAGGAATAGCCAAAAGTGGATTATGATAAACGCAAGAAAATGAGAGAAAACAAACATCTTTGGAAAAGGTTAAGAAAACATAGAAATGTCCAAACCATGAGGAAGGCCAAAGGTTATAATGAATGCAATTACAAACAAACAAAAGCTCTTTTTTAACTACATAAATACCAAGACTAAAAGTAGAGATCAAATTAGCGCTTATATTGAGGGGGAAATTTGTGAAATCCTTAATGATGAATTTCAGTCAGTTTTTGTTCTGAACCCATACTTTGATATGACAAGTAACCGTGCAAACGTAAATCAGAATATCGAAGATATCACACTCAAAGGATGAAATAAAAGTTCTACTGAAAGGGCTATACAAGAGAAAATGAGATATCTAACTGAGTTCTGAGGTAATATCCCGAAGAACTATATAGGCCTACTCGGTTCCAAACTTTAGTGAGACATGGAAAGCTACCACAAGATCGGAAACTCGCCAATGGTACACCTTTATATAAGAGCGGCGACAAAGAAAACCTAAATTATAGACCTCTTTCGTTAAATAGTGTAGTATGCAAGCTCTTGGAAAGGATAATTAGGAAACAGTGGAAACTTGGAAAATACAATATGATATCAAATTAATAATTTGGTTTTAGGAAAGGAAGGTCATGTTTAGAAAATATCCTCTGTTTCTACGACAGAGTTTCTGAAATTATACAAGAAAGAGACAGCTGGATGGATTGTGTATACTTGACTTTAGAAAGGCATTTGATAGCAGGTCCCATTGACGACTATTATGGAAATTAGAAAACCTAGGTGGAATGAAAGGCAAACTCTTTGGCTGGGTGAAAGACAAATGAGCCCCGTAATTAGAGAGAAGCACAAGTAACTAGCGGAGTACCACAAGGATCGGTTTTGGCGCCGATTATCATCATCATCATTGGGGGGCTAACGCCGGTAGGGGCGCATAGCCGCGTCCACCCTTCGTTTCCACCTTCGAGTTCCTCACGACAGGTTTGATCGATCTGCCCAAGCCACGACCTTCTCAGTCGTCCCACAGGCATCCTCCAATCAGGATTGTCTCGGACAGAGACAACCTGATGGGCAGGATCATCCTGCGGGAATCGAGCCAAGTGGCTATATAGCCTAAGTTGGCGATCACAGATTGTGCAAGTAACAGGTCCTGTACCGGTCTCGCGGTGTAGCTGTTGGTTGGACACATGGTCCCGCCAACTGTACCCCATGATCCGTGCGCAAGGATCTGTTACAAAAGGCATTGAGACGAGATTCCAAAGCACAAGATAGCGTCCAAGTTTCACTACCATATAGTAAAACTGGCAGTATCAGGGCCTTGAAAACTCGTAGCTTGGTCCTTCTGCACAGGTACTGGCATCTCCAAATACTCTTGTCGAGAGATTTCATGACCCCTGCTGCCAGGCCAATCCGTCTACTGACTTCCTGGTCTGACAGCCCAGAGTCATGAACTGCACTACCGAGGTATATAAAACTCCTTGTGACTTCGATGTTTTCACCACAAGCACGTACCAACTGCACAGGGTCTCCTAGTAGGCCCCCAAAATCCTGGATCTTGGTCTTGGTCCAGGAGACCTCTAGCCCCAGGGGCTTCGCTTCATTGCTAAATGCATCAAGAGCCGCCACTAGGGTTTCCAGAGATTCAGAAAGAATGGCAACATCATCAGCAAAGTCAAGGTTTGTAACCTTGATATTGCCCAGAGTTGCTCCACAGTGACTTTGGACAGTAGCTCTACCCAGTATCCAATCCATGCAAGTGTTGAAAAGTGTTGGTGCAAGAACGTAGCCTTGCCTCACGCCTGAACTAACAGGAAAGAAGCTCGACAGGCCCCCACCACACTTTACAGCACTTTCAGTGCCTGTATACAGGTTTGCTATTAGCCCAACAATCCTTGTTGGAATTCCTCTCAGTCTCAGGATCTCCCAGAGTGATTCGCGATGCACCGTATCAAACGCCTTCTTGAGGTCGTTGTAGGCTGCGAGCAGCCCATGTCCGAAATCATGGCGCTCTATAATGACTCGAAGCGCCAGGATACGGTCTATTGTGGACTTACCAGGAGTGAATCCAGATTGCTCTGGTCTTTGGTGGCTCAGGAGGTGGTCTCTGATATGTCTCAGTAAGATATGGGCGAGTACCTTGCCTGTTACACTGAGCAGTGTAATGCCTCGGTGATTGCTGCAGTCCCACCGATCCCCTTTCCCCTTCCAGAGAGGGATGACCACACCCCTCAGCAGGTCGAAGGGAATGGTACCGGTCTGCCAGATGGCAGACAGGACTGCATGCAAGCCCCTTGCCATAGGTTCTCCACCAGCCTTTAACAATTCAGCTGGGATGCCACAGACACCTGCTGCTTTACCACTTCAGCTTGGAGATCGCCCCCTTGACTTCAGTCAGGGTGGGTAGATCCTCGCTGATGGGTGGGTCTGGCAGAGGAGTCTCAACATTACCAGCATCCAAGTTAACTGTTGGTGGATCAACCTGATACAGCTGCTCAAAATACTCAGCCCAACGCACACGCACCCCATCAGGATCTGAGATTACCTGGCCACTTGCTGAGCGGACCGCCGTGTGAGGAGGGCTTGGAGTTCAGCTTTCTCAGAGCTTGGTAGGCAGGACGAAGGTCATTTACTAGGAAATGGCTTTCGACCTCCTCTGCAAGATTACTGATAAACTGTTCTTTATCCCTTCTCAATAGTGACCTAGTCCTGCGCGCCAGAGAACGGTACAAATTGCGATCAACGATTTAGGGTCAAACATAAACACAGGTTGTTATCTGAATGTTTGCAGACAACACGAAATTATAAAAAAGGATAATAGATGATGTCTCATGCCAATGCCTCCAAAGTAACATCGAAAACTTATTTATGTGGAGTTGTACTTGGAAAATGGAATTCAACACCAATAAATGCCATGTAGTCAGCTTCGGAGAAAGTAAAAACCGTCCGTTATACTAATACAATAGGAGACATAATATTAAACCAAGCAGATAAAAAAATGAAATTCTCACAAACAGAAACATAAACCCAAATGATCATATACATGACAAGGTTCATAAAATGCTAGAGCTAAAGATGCTAGGGCAAGAAGAGGGCATTCGTCTTTTTGGACGAAGATATGGTAAAGATCATCACAGCCATCATAAGACCTGGTCTAAAGCATGGTGCAGTGGTACGGGGTCTACATTTTAAAAGAATATAAATAAACTGGAAAGAGTTTAAAAAGCAGCCACAAGATGGGCACCTACTCAAAGAGACATGAGCTGCGACAGAAGACTACAGAAATAGGACTTACTACTTTGAAAGGAAGAAAAAAAGGGTGACATAATTATGATGTTCTACTATGTTACAGGAAGGGTGACGTCAAACAAAGATGACTTTATATTCTATAACATAAGGATGAGAGGACACAGTAAAAAGTTGAAAGTAAAAAGAGACGAGAAAGATGTCAAAAAGTTCAGTTTCTCAAACAGAGCTAGTGAAACATTGAACAATCTTCCCAATAACTTTGTCTGCCCAAAAGTTTTGCGATAATTTAAATATAGCAGATGGAACCATCTTAGCATTGCTCTTCTCCCGTATTGATACAACTGGGTAAGAACGCACACACACACACAACGGAGGGGTCCGAGTGATGGGCCCCACTAGAGCAGGGGACCGCAAGGGTCAGGGTAGCCGAAAAGCGAACCGATTTTCACTTTTGTAATATTGTTATGTGGTTACATTTTATTCATATGGAAG